ATATATATATATATATATATATATATATATATATATATATATATATATATATATATATATATATATATATATATATATAACAAAAATATAAAAACAAAAATTACTTGTAATTATTAGAAAAGTTTTCTTTTATTACACACGATCTTGTATAAAACGTTGTGGGTTTTTTACATTTGTATATAACATATTTGTTTATTGTTATATTATGTTATATTAAATGCTATGCAATAAAGCTGCACTTATTTAGAAAAGCTTGAAAAGTGCTGATTAATTGCAATCGATATAAGAGTTATTAAAATATTTTATTTTTCCATTACGTCCAAAAATTGGATAGATCAATGTGGTTTAATGCGATATCATCAGTGTCGTTTTGCGAGGGATCCGCCCCTTAAAACAATATAAATATAACATAATATATTTATAGCAAAAAAATAAATATAGCAAAAAAGGCTTTTAATTGTTAAAATAAAATGTTAAAAAAATGGTATGAGTAAAAAAAAAATGCCGACTAATTTTTTTTTTATTATTATCATTAAAATTAATAATTCTAGTATAGTAATGTTGATTGCTAAAGAATTAAATATAATGAATATTTGCAATAATCATAAGTTCTTAGTTAAAACTTCTTTTTATGAAATAAGTTAAAGCTTCTCTATGAAATAAGTTAAAAATACCCTAGTTATTTCTTAAACCAGAAAATTGATTTTTAATTTAATTAAAGATTGATTTTCCGTTATTTCACTGACGCCCATTTTTAACAACTCTTTTTAAATCGATTATGTCCAACATATCCTTGTTAGTATTAAGAAGCATTAAGTTTTGTAATCGATCAACGTGCATTCTAATAAATTTATGATCAATTTTAACTTGCTAAACGTTCGTTCGTTTGATGACATGGCGCTACAGAAGCCATAAGAGCCATGGGTTTTGCAGCTATTTTTATAGCAAGTTTTATAGCAACAACAACCTTTTAAAATAGTTAAAATTTCTGATAAATTAGAGGGTATCTAAAAAAATTTTGAATTTCTATCTGTAAAATGAATGAAAATTAAATATCGTCGGAGGATATGAATTAGAATTAATGTTTTTTTGGCAAAGATGTTCTTTTAGGAACTTTTTAAAAATCAGATTTAGGATCAATGCCTAATTGGAGCGCATACTTTATTGCACTAAGTTATCCATGACCAGGTTGTCGACATTAATATTGTAAAAAATCTTAGTTAAGGTTATGGTTAAGGTTTTTTAGTTCATATTTATTTTGTACATAAAAATTTTCATAAAATACAAAAATACTAAGAGTTCAAATGTTAGCAAATTTTTAGATAATCTTAAAGCTTGAGTTCTAGTATTTTTACCTAGATATCGGACGTCAGATATCGGATGTCAAATATCAGACGTCAGATAAAGGTCAGTTGATGTTTCTACAACGGTGATTATATTTGATACCAATCAACCCATACAGATTTTATTGATTCGGCTTAAGCTGTTTATCTTATTTTAGATTAATTACGGAGTTGTAATAAAATTATAAACAATGATAAACTTTTGTAAATGTCTATATCTCTTTCCACTGAAAGAAAAAAATAATTATTCTAACACAAAAATCTGACTATAATAGTATGATGTTCAACTATAATACTATGGTATTCAACTAAAATACTATGATGTTCAACTATAATACTATGATGTTCAATTATAACACTATGATGTTCAACTATAATACTATGATGTTTAACTATAGTACTATGATTTTCAACTATAATGTTATGATGTTTAACTATAATACTATGATGTTCAACTTTAAAACTATGATGTTCAACTGTAATACTATGATGTTCAACTATAATATTTTGATGTTCAACTATAATACTATGATGTTCAACTTAAAAACTATGATGTTAAACAATAATGTTCAACTAAAAAACTATGATGTTAAACAATGATGTTCAACTAAAATACTATGATGTTTAACTATAGTACTATGATTTTCAACTATAATGTTATGATGTTTAACTATAATAATATGATTTTGTGATTTACATTTCACTTCATTTTGTGATTTTCATTTCACTTACATAAAAAATATCAAAACTTACGTGATTTCACTTCAACAGCAATTACACAAATAAATAAAAAATTAGTAAATTAATAAACGCTTTCTAAAAAATTATTAACAATTTTGATAAAGTATACAACTTTAATACTATGATGTTCAACTTTAATACTATGATGTTCAACTTTAATACTATGTTAACTATAATACTATGATTTTTACCTATAATACTATGATGTTTAACTATAATACTATGATGTTCAACTTTAATACTATGTTAACTATAATACTATGATTTTTACCTATAATACTATGATGTTTAACTATAATACTATGATGTTCAACTTTAATAATATCATGTTCAACTTTAATGCTATGATGTTTAACTATTACACTACGATGTTCAACTATAATACTTTGATGTTCAACTATAATACTACACTGTTAAAAATAAAGCGCGTTTTTTACGGAAAAGTTCCGGCAGCTGCCGATGACCAAACTACCCGTCATTTTACGGAAAAACCCATTGCATGTAAACGGATGTTTCCGTTTACAAACGGATTTTTTCCGTTAAAATACAATGCGTTTTTTCCGTTAAACAACGGGTAGTTTGGTCATCGGCAGCTGCCGGAACTTTTCCGTAAATAAACGGATACTTCCGTTTAAATTAAACAAGTCTTTCCCGTTAAACAGCAGAAAGGAAACTCAGCTGCCGGATAGTTTCAGTAAATAAAAGTAAAATTTAAATAAATTATTTCTAGCAAATCTTATATATATAAAATCAATGGTATGTTTTCGGAAATATTTTCTGAAAACAAATTTTCTTTGATTTACATAAAAAATATTAAAATTTACGTGATATACATTTCACTTCCACAGCAATTACACAAATAAATAAAAAATTAGTAAATTAATAAACGCTTTCTAAAAAATTATTAACAATTTTGATAAAGTATACACAAGCACATAATAATATAATTATATTACATATTTCTATATACATTTACAAGATAGATATACTTAAAAACTTATCTTTAAGTAATAGATATTGGTTAAATAACAAATATAAATATAAGTAAATCAAAATCAATCCAAATACACAAAAATACAGTCTTTTCTTTCTTTTCCATTTTGAGTCAACTCTAAATCTAAAAAAAAAAATAATAATAATAAAGTTTTTGAGTAAGAAAAGATTTTAATATTAAACAAAGTAATAATTATAAAAAACACTCATTATGTGCAATGGTTACCTTAAATTGTTACTCAATATAAGTGATTAAAGTTAAAAATTGTTAAAAACCAAAGTACCTAAACAAAACCTATCTTGGATCCTTTTATTTTTTTTGCAGATTATCTACCTTGATAGACTGTAATAAAATATATTTAAAAAGTATTAAAATTTTTTTAAAAGTCTTATAATTTTGAAAAAAAAAGATTTTAATTTTCTTTTTGTTCTAAATATAAATAATGAACTTAATGATTAACTCTAATACTCATAACTAACTTTTGAACTCTTACACCTATGAGTGCATTTTTATCTAAATATAAACAAATATGAACACAAAAATGGTATAAATATTTTATAATAGACATATTTTATAAATGTGTTCTATCTAATGCAAAAACACTAGGTTTAAATTTTTTTTGAATAAAAAATATTTTAAGGGGTCCCTCAAGACCCTCGAATATTTAATGGGTCCCTAATATTTTCGAAAAAAAGTTTTTCAAAAATATGTCAACCTGGTACTCAAATGAAGCGAAATTATATAAAAATTTTAAAAATAATATTCATTTCGCAACAAAATTGTTATTTTTTGTTTTATTACATAAAAAACTACGTTTTTTAAGAAAAAATGAAAAAAATGCATTTTAAATGTTTTTTTATGATAATTTTGATAAATAAGTTAAAAATGTTTCGATAGAATTGATTATATTTAAGAAACGCGCTAGCTAAAAAATTTAAAATTGCTTCTTAATGTGACCCTGAACCCTTAAATTTTACTTTGGCTAAAATTGCTTCTTAATGTGACAAGTTCTTAATGTGACAACCCTGAACCCTTAAATTTTACTTTGGCTTCCATAAGCATAACCATTTTCCAACGGAAATTTCCGTGTTTCAAAAAAGAAGGAAAATTTTCGTTCAATTTTGTTAAATGGGTAGTTTCCTTACAAATAACGGAAAATAATTCCGTAAAAGTACGGGAATTTTTAACAGTGATATGATGTTAAACTATAATACTATGATGTTCAACTATAATGCTATGATGTTAAACTATAATACTATGATGTTCAACTATAATACTATGATGTTCAACTATAATACTAGCATCGATGTTCAACTATAATACTAGCAGCAATCTCGCTGGATGTGGTTACGGCGATTAATAACCTAGTGACTACGCTGACACTCACGCACTCGTTTAGTCGGAAGTTCCACAATGCACATCGGATCAGCGCTCGCTAACTATGTGCTCGGATCTGAAATATCACTTCATAGCACATCATTTCACACCAGTACGGGGCAGTAGCTCTTTTGGCTAAGAGTGGTGGCTTGTGGCCTAGGGTGTCTAATATGTGCATTCGATCAATTGAAATCCTTTCTTAAATCAGGTCTTACGTCTGGCTCTGATGTGCTAGCGGATGAGTGGAAACTCACCTTAACTTAAGGAAAATATAAGTTGTTAATTACAGCTCTTTTAGAAGAAAATAAATAACCGATAACAAGCTAACTATATCACGGTGTAGATTCATAGAATTCCGTAAAAACTATCAACTCGAAACACTAAGAGTAAGCATTTGTAGTTAAAACTTTCTTAGAATTTTGAATTTTTCTCCAGTATACCTTACATATATTAAAGTAAACTCGTACAAGTTTTCAAGTCTTATAAATTAATTGTTCATAAAATATAGGTGTTTAAAGTAAGGTGGAGTAATTGAGCACTTTTATATGGGGTAAATGAGCACCTTTTGAATTTACTGGTTTTTATTCTTATAATATTTTTGATAATAAAATTAATATTTTAAGATACAAATAATTTGAGTTTTTAGCTTATATTTTTCACTTTTTTATAACAGATTTGTGGAAATGGTGAGAAACTATTTAAAATCAACTCAAAAACAGTCAAAAACTTACTCAGAAAGTGAACTTAAAAGAGCTATCAAACTTGTTAATGGTGGAGAACCTTATAAACGTGTGACAAAGCTGCTAAACATACGACAGAGAACTTTAAGGTGTTGTATTAATGGTTTACGCAAAAGTAGTGTGGTTGGTCGAAAGAGTTCTTTGCTACCAGACGAGGAGATGTCAACTGCACAATACATTGCAACTTTTAGTGATTTTGGGTAAGCATTTGATAAAATAGACCTCAAATTATTTGTACAAAGTTTTCTTAACAAATCTGGACGAGACTGTCCGTATTTCAAAGAAAATATGCCTGGTGATGATTGGGTAAGATCATTTTTAGAGCGGCATAAAAGTCTTTTATTTTATCGAGCATGTCAAAATATTTGTAGAAAGCGTGCTGCAATTTCATGTGACTCTGTAAATAGATTTTTTAACAACCTAGAAGATACAATAAAAAATTTTCTACCTCAAAACATAATAAACTATGATGAAACTAATCTTTCTGATGACCCAAAATCAAAACAAATTATATTCCAGAAAGGTACTAAAAATGCTGAAAGAGTTATAAATACATCAAAGTCATCAGTGTCTATAATTTTGCATGTACTGCTGATGGTGTTTTTCTTCCTCCATATACAGTGTATAAAGCTGAGCGGCTGATGGACACTTGGATACTTGGAGGTCCAATTGGTGCCCGCTATGACCGCACAAAATCTGGTTGGTTTGATGGCTATTGTTTTATAGATTGGCTGCAAACAATAGTAATACCTTACTTCAGACATGTTGATAACAACACTCCAAAACTTCTTGTAGGTGATAATTTAGCATGCCATTTATCTATTAATCTTATCGAAATTTGTGTAGCTAACAACATTAGGATGGTCTTCTTACCTCCTAATAGTACACATATACTACAGCCTCTTGACCTTGCAGTTTATGGACCCATGAAATCAACATGGATAAAAGTAATTACTGAATAAAAAATTGGTGAAGGAAGATTTCATACATCTCTACCGAAAAATGTTTTCCCAAGATTGCTCCTTAATCTCTTGACTAATATAAATCACATACAAGAGTTCGCTGTAAATGGGTTCAAAACATCTGGTATCTACCCACTGAACAGAAAAATAAAATTATTGACAAGATTTTAAAGACAGACATATCTAAATCTTCTCAGAACTTAGTATCCTCATTAGTTCTTGAACATCTTGCAGAGCTTCGAAAAGCTTCTGCTAAAAAGCCTGGGGCAATAATGCGTCGGAAAAAAGTTAAAGTTTCACCAGGAAAAAAAGTGTTTCGATGGAAGATGTTGTAA